CAATTATCTTTAGCTTGAAGGTGTAGGGCTAAGGGCAAGGGGTATACATCCCTTCAAATGAAGATTTTCAGGACCACACTCGAAACCAAGGGGTAAGAAATATTTCCCAGAATACAGCTGCACCCAGAAGTAAGGAGACCTACAAATTAGTATTTTTTTGTTATAATTACAACAAACAAACACATGTCTTAATGTATTCATAACTGTGTTCGCATTTTACCATCAAGCTTTTAAAAAAAAACGCTACAATAAAAACTAAATTCAAAATTTTGCGATCTATTCACAATCTATAGTCCCTTATAATTGAGGGGTCGCTAATAATTCAGAAGGGCAAATAATTTTAACTTTATATATTCAGTTATTTTCCTCCCTGTAAATAAGAAAAAGGAAATAAATACAGTATTTGTACAGTATACAGAAGGATGCAGACTTCAAAGTTGAGCCCTTCGAAGTCCACACAGGCTGAACCGAGCATTTTGAAATGGGACGATCTAGCCTATAGAGGACGGATCTTGTCACCAGGCAACTGTAACTGCTGCCATTAATAAGCGCTGATAAAATTTGGAAAGGACTTTTTTTTCAAAGTGATTTTAAAACTTATTTTAAACGATCTTAAGACAAAACAAGGTATACAGAAGCTGGAAATATATTTGCTTTGATCCATACATGTACACATGAAATTGTAAACTGTCTATAAAATCACTCTTTAGTAAGACATGTCACACTCTTTTTGCTTTAACATGTGTTTACATATGCAAGTAAAATAAACTAAATTCATACATTAAAACCGGAGTTTTCTTTTAAAAGCGTCCTGCTGTTATCAGCGCACAATGAATCTTGAGATGTTCGAGGCCACGAAGGATTCACCGGTTGTGTCCTTCATTACCTGGAAAATGAACGATGCATTTAGAGGCTGCATTTGAAGGATCCTTCTAATTTTTTTGAAATGACACAGCCTTCGTCACACTGCGATGATGCAGCGCACTTCGAATGCATCCTTTGGAGGATGCAGCCTCTGAAATGAGACTCAGCTATAGTCTTTGAAATTGCACAAAATATTAAGACTCTAGCTGTGTCTCATTTCAGAGGCTGCATCCTCCGAAGGATACATTAGAAGTGCGCTGTGTCACTGCGGTGCGACGAAGGCTTTCTCATTTAAAAAAAAATAGAAGGTTCCTTTACACGCAGCGTTCCTTCACACGCAGCCTCCAAATGCGTCCTTCGTTTACTCCAGTTTAAATTTATGAATTGTTTATTTTACTTGGATGTCTAAACAAAAAACAAAAAGAGTATGACTTGTCTTGCTAAAGAGTGATTTTATAGACGGTTTACATTTTATGTGTAGATGTTTGGACCAAAGCAAATATATTTATAGCATTTATAATCCTTGTTTTGCACTCAAATCTCTTAAAATAAGTTTTAAAATCACTTTTAAAAAGTCATTACAAATTTTATCACCACTTATTAACAGCAGCTGTTGATGACGAGAACCGCCTCTATAGGCTAGATCATCTCATTTCAAAGCGCTTGGTTCAGCCTGTGTGGACTTCGAAGTACTCGCCTTTGAAGTCTGCCTCCTTCAGAGGATGCAGCCTCTGAAATAAGACACAGCTATTGTCAACTGTCGCTGGGTTACTATGGTTGCTACTAATGTTTGAGGGAAGCACATTTATTCTGAACTGTGATCAAAACTGACCGGAACTACTTGCGCATTCTTGTGATTATTTCACATACCTTCCAGCCAATCAGAATCAAGAATTGCAACAGACCACTGTTTCACTGTATTTTTTAGGAAGGAGTTGCAGTCTTGTTGATCACAATTTCTTTGAAAAAAAAAACTTTTGAATGGTAGAGGAAGTCATACTTTCATTACAATTTCTATTTCTGAACAACAAAGTCAGGCAGCGAACGGAAAAGTCAACTTAAAAATGAAGACAAATGTCATCATGTAAAAGGCATTAGCTCACACAGGGGGGATTTAAATTAGCGGAGCCCTTCCCAAGAATCTGTCAGTACTGATCTCATTATTGACATTCAATGTCTCCATCTTCTGCCAGTCCTACACACTCTGTCATTATAAAAACCCTGCCAGCCATTAGTCAAAAGCCATATGCTAATGCCAGAATATGATAACCTTGTGTATTTCACTTGGGTGCAACTCCCGACTGATGTATTAGTGCTGTTGGAGGATTCAGACATTAGCAAATCCAACACAAAGTCTCCTCTAATTTGCCTCTCATAGACGTTTGAACTCGGCAGCGGCGAGAGAATAAGAGTGTGTACGAGCTGAGACCAATGTGGCTTTACACGTGCTGGTTATATAACACCACTGACAGTGACCCGTTAAAAGAGCAGGTTCTTGGTTTGTTTTTTAAATATCCTCTTGTAAAGCGTTGATTGGAAATGAGTTCTTGCAAAGCTATGTGAAGTCTCAAAGTAAAATTTAAAGTTAGTTACCCATTTCCTGAATACTGAATCATTTGATTGAATTTCCTAAAATCTGTTTGCAGATGCCAGACCTCTGAATGGCTGTTTAAAAACAGCAGTGTTTATTTGACGGTGAGGAATTATCCTAAAAATGCTTGGAAAACTACTAGTATTTTGTACTCTGGGTTCTTGTTCGCAGTTCACACCTGGTATTAAGGTGTGTTCTCTTCAATCTGATCACAAGTGGACAATAGAGTCACTTTACCATTCACACAAGGTGTTTATAAATGTATCAGTAGCACTTTAGAACAATGGTCCATTAGTTAATGTATTTACTAACATTAATTTAGTATGGGTAATCTTGTAAAACATTTATTAATCATAGTTTAACATTAATGCATTAAAATCCAAAGTTGTGCTTGCTAATGTTGATTCCTCAATACATTAACTACTGTTATTTAACTTAAAAAACATTAACTAACATTAACAAAGTTGAATAAATACAGTAATAAATGTATTACCAATTGTTTGTTCATGTTTGTGAATACATTCAGTAATGCAGAGGTTCCCTAACTTTTCAGCCTTCAAAATAACAATACCAGTGACTTTCGACGTCCAATATCCTCCAAGGTGGTTATAAATAATATAAACCTTGCACACAACGGTGCACACATGCCAATAGGCCCAAGTCTAATCATCATTTAACTTTGGAGAACACCACTGGGAGATCATCCTCCATGTTCTGTGTGGCCTATATTTATTTTTAATGTACTAAAGTGCCGTAAAGGTGTCAAAGTTTAACCTAATGCCATATAATCAACGTGCTGTGTCTTTATTAAAATGTAATCACCCTAGAGGTCGAATTTTTTTTTTTTTTTATGTAACTATTGACTACTATTTTGTTCTTCAGTAGGTTATGGATAAAATATAGAAATTCTAATATTTTAATAAAGTGAATTGGAATGTTTGGAGATCACCAAGTGACCCCCCTCTCATTGTCCTTCGATTCCCACTTTGGGAACCACAGAACTAAATGACTACCAAATTAAAGTTCTACCAATGTATTTCCTGTCCACGTTCAAATACTTTTTACCCTTTCAAGGAAATGTAGGCGGCCATATTTGTGACATTGTTCGCCCAAGAAACCTAAAATCTTGAAAAACTGCTTGCTGAACTTATTAAAATCAGCAGCACAATCTAAACTGACCAATTGCTGTTGTTGCTTAAGCCCCGATTACATTGAAAACACATTATTTCCAGATCGCTCTAGCTACTGTGCAGCGATTTGCAAGACACTAAACTCCATTGTGGCTGTTTCAATGATAACCAGAGAATATAGTTATAAACACTGGTAAAACAGACAAAGAGTGAGATAAATAAACTGAACAATGTTTCTGTTAAGTTCAAAACAAAACTTTTTCTTTTGGGGACATCGTTTGAAGTTGGAAAATTGAATAAATTGCAGAATATTACAACATAATCAAAGTGACAATAATATTCCATCATGACACGAGTATTGTGATAATGTCTTATGGTGGAGACTTCTTTTTCTTTTTTCTTTTTTTTTTTTTCACCTTTATTTTGATAGGACAGTAGAGAATCCAGACAGGAAAGCACTGGGAGCAGAGAGAGGGAAAGTATCGGCAAAGGACCTCGAGACGGGAATCAAACCCGGGTCGCTTTTAAATTAATAATTTGGTACAAACCACTTATTATACACATACATACATGTTTTACATTGTACTTGTATATACATTTTTAATTATCTGCTTGTAATTACAACTGTAATTTATTTCTGTAATCACATATACACAGTTGACAAAACCTTAAATCTTAACCCACCCTTAAACATGCCAACAAACCTGTCCCTGACCTTAATAGCACTATAAGTGCTGTGCAATACAATCTAAACACTTTAGTTTACATAGTTTTAATGCATCTAGTAGATATGGCCATTTAGTATATGGTGGGACTGAATTTTGAAGGCTTTAAGCCATGCATTTCCATTACATTTATAGCTTTTAAAAGAGAAAAAAAAAATCATTTATTGTTTCTCTTTCATGGTGTTTTTTCCTGGTAAGGTAGCATGGAATTTTCCAGAAGGAATTTTAGCGAAGTATCACTGGTCTGGATGCAGTTATAGAGTTATATAACATTAGTCATGGAGATGTTGAAATGATCAGCTGAGGTATGTGATCAGTCATGGATGTTACAACAAAACTAATGAGAGGTCAACTAGATGCCTCCTGATCTGTGATTGAATGCAGACCGCATGGACTTTATATCTCTTTGTTCATCAGCAGTGTCTCCTTGTCTCCATGTCCTGAACAGGTTTATCTTTGGGTAAATTATTTTCTAGGAAAGCCAGCATCACACGGTGTGACCACATTGTGCCCTTCAGAGTGTTCAGTTGTCCTTGACGGCTGGCAGACCACTGTAAACATAACAATAAGAATTGATTGAGTCTCAGACTGTTATTTCAAACACCTGGTTTCAATTCAGACAGAACATTAGATTAAACCCACAATGCCCAGTTGTACCCAGCCTGATATACTCATCTTCTTAATTTGCAGAGGAACCTACTGGAGGAAGACTCTGATGAAGAGGAGGACTTTTTCCTGTAAGTCTGCAGTTGTGCATAATCACTCTTGAATTGGAATAATAACAGATCTTCTCCATTAATTATTGTTTGCGTCCAGCTTTTGATTTGTCCAGCTTTTTCTTTTTTGATGTTTTTTTTAAAGGAGAGGACCGACAGGACCAAGATTTGGAGGTCAAAATGATAAAATCAGACAGTACGTACACAATTTTTCTTTTCAATTTTTTACTGTTGTTTATGGTTTGTATGTGAGCAGCACTAGTTCTGTGTTCCCTTTGTGGATTGACAGTACAATACTTCTCATTTCAGTCAGTTGTCGTCCATTTGGTCTGTTCTAGCATAGGCTTTTGGTCCAGACACAGCCAAAGTGAAGGGACAACACAGTCAGCTTTCGCCACCTCCAGTTCTTTATTAGTATCGTTATTTCTATAGCGTATTTAACAATGCAGATTGTGTCAAAGCAGCCTAACATAGACAAAGAAAAGAAAGTAAAAGAAATAATATTTTAAATTGTGGAATTTTCCAGGAATTCAGGCAGGTAGGCCAGAGAGTAAAGTCGAATGCTGGTGTAGTTCTAGTAAATTGAAACTGTTTCACTTCCGTTTTAGTATAATTTCAGTTTAGTTCAGTGATATAGGGTGTTTACAACACACTTGTAATTAGATGCACAAATATTTTTAGTTTACTTCATTATTGCGTTAAAATCAATTCACAATAGACAAAGATTGATGTCATGAGTGGGCATCTGTCTGCCTTGTGACTTCAGTTTTGTTGCTAATGGCTAACATGAATTTTATGAAGAGAGTAGCTGTGCTTCTCCAGAAGCTGTGCCTGGATCACGGAAGCCTTCAGTGGTATTTCTGACTGAGCTAGTTCCAGTTTGATGAGCTGTTGTCCTGTTTTCACTGGAGGATTTTTCCCTTGGGACACCATCAAAATAAACTATGTTGTAGTCATGCCCCTAGTAGAGCAAGTTCCTGGTTAACGCTGCACCAATGTCCACCAAAGTTCAGATTTTTCAACTGCAGTGTCATTTGCTCCATTCACGTTATTTGCTTGATTCACTTCATTCGTGCAAGTAGCGTCGCTGGATGTCTAATCACTTCTTTGCATTGACCTAACATATGAATCACTTGCGCTAGACCCTACATCCACATCTGGTGTGAACCTACATCAATGCAAATATCATTGCTGAAGGCCGATCCACTGAAGAGCAGTCCACCAATGTGCGGCTTCTCCAGTGCAGCCAAGCAAGCAAGAGGCGAAAGTGGCAAGGAACCAAAACTTCACCAATTGACAGAAGTGAAGAACAAGCCTTGAGAGAAATCAGGCTGGACCATTCTTAATCTTGCCAAATGTCTTGTACAGAGGTGCAGTATGGATGCCACAGGCTTGAGAATAAAGGATGTCCGTTGGGGAAAAGGTGCAGGTCCAGGTTGGTCACTGGGCAGTTGTTCAAACTAGCAGACAGGATCAATGCGTTGACAGATTTGTCACTGGGGTCTTTGCAGGAACCTACTCAATGACCACAACAGCTGTATGCTCAGGATATGGGTTGTATTGACCATTTTGTAGACCTAGGGATAAGAAAAAACAGAGTAAAGCAAGCATAAACATGTTGTTCTGGTGTCCCTGGCTTTCATTGATTCCTGTTAATTTGGCATGCCTTTTACAGGCATTGTTTTTATGTGAACAGTTTTGTTTTTTATTCTAAACAAAATCAGTAAAAATATAAAAAATACCCATGTGGACATGGCTTGATTGTATTCTGAGGGTGCAGTCTGTCTTGAGGCTGAGACTAAAAGAGAGAGTCAAAGTTGGGACCAGAAGATGGTCAAGTTTGAGTCCAGGCAGAAACCTACAGAGGGTTGAGTTCAAATCAAGACTTGATTTTTTTATGTTATTTGTTAGTTATTTATTTTCAGAACTGAAAAACTAGAAATTTTCAAGTAGTAGGATGAGCTGAGCTTAAAAATGTGGAGGCAGATATCTAGAGATTTACACTGGCAGGGTGTTATGGAAATCACAGTTCTTGATTCAACCAGCACTGCCCATGTCGTTGTGCTTGTAGTTTATGTAAGCCTTTATAATGACATCTGTGAAAACACCCACCCACAAACACACCTCCCGTCTGCAAAGAAGGGAAGCACTGTAACCATCTGGGTTTCTATGAAACAACATAATATTTGCAGGCAAAAGTAAACAGCTACTCCCAATATTCAAAAGTTCTTCTGGTCCTGACGTGGATGTAGTAGCCAGACTGTGAGCTTTTCTTTGTTATGAAGTTTGGTACATACTAATGTGTTGCAGTAATTCTCCCAGTGGAGACCTAGCAGAGCTTCGCCCAGTGTGTGCAGCCACACGACACCAGCTTTACGTAACCATGTGCTGCACTGTAGAGTGACCCATAAAACAATGGAATTTAATAGGGAAACGTTGGAAGGTGAAATTTTCCTAATGTTTTTTTTCTTGCCTTTGTGTACTTCTCTGATTTTTGCACTTACTTCATTTGTCTGTTGGTTATTGATGTGGAAGCAGGGCTGGGCTGAAGGTACAATTCCAGGTGCAAGAGATGTGCAAGGTCCTGTGCCATTGGCACTGATGATGGTTTGTACTAGGCGGGCATCCAGGCACAGAAGCAAGGGGCAAAACATCCTGTTCTCAGTTCATTTACAGGTTAATCTCCCTTTTCAAAAGCCATGCCAAGCTCTTGTGCCAGGTGTATGAGAGCAGCTAAATACCTCACATGCTATTTAGTGCGTATTTGCTTGTCATGCCTATGAGATCAAATATTTCAAACTATTTGGATGTGTCTAGACTATGTCTAGCAAAACATTCTCACCACCTCTCGACATTGCAGGGTCAACAGATCATAGTCATAATGATGAATCCCAAATGGTTTATAGAAGAAGAAAAGGTTCACTTCAAAATAATGAAATCAAAGGCTTAAACATGTGCACAGAAGCTGTTAAAATGTCCTGCTGAATCAAATGGAAGTACCATACCTTTCCCCTCATGTTGTCCTCTCTGTCTTGTTGGTCTTCAGGGTGCAGTCTCAGGTCGATGAGGTGATTGACGTCATGCAGGAGAACATCTCCAAAGTGATCGAACGTGGAGAACGTCTAGATGAGCTGCAGGATAAATCTGGTAAGATGGATGTGAACGAATCAATGTGAATCCTTTGCCACTTGTTAATTCCTTTAAATCCAAGAGAATCAAGACATGATTCTTGGACCATCACAGAAGTTCTGTTGTTTCTTCTTCAGACTGGGAATTTGTAGTATTGTGAACATGGGAACAATTTCATTTAAGTTCAATTAGGGCTGGGCGATATGGCAAAAATGTAATCTCCATAATTACTGTCCATATCTAACAATTAAAATATATATTCTGATTTCAGTTGTTAATGCTTCCACGTTTAAAGAGTACCCTAACAATGACTGAAGCCTCAAAAATTAGAGGGTCCATTAAATGGCATAATGGACTAAGTTCAATTTAGCTATAATGAATCAAGGACAGATTTGCAGATCTATGTTATTAATTTATGTGCCTGTGCATGTAGTTGCAAATGAATAGATGGTAAAGCCATGTGTAAACAAACTATTATTTCCAATCGGTCAAATTCGACAGCTCAGTAAACTTGACCAAACTTGATCCAGAGGACTGTGGGAAACTGTTCTGAAGCCCAGTGTGATGTGAATAAGACCTTCTGTTAGTTTTGTATTTCACCGTACCTGAACCTCTTGTGAGTTATGTCCCATTTCTGTTATTTCGTTTGGGGAACCGCCTGGGGACACATGGCCAGGATAGTGGGTAAAATTTCTTGTGGTCCACACTGTGGTGTGGTATTTTTCTCATTTCAGGCCAAGATGTGAAAAATAAACCAAAAGATGTTTGTGCATGGGTTTGTCTACACTGATCTGAAATGAGTGGCTAGTCACAAAAAAACATTAAATGAAGAGTTCAGAAGCAAAAGCCTCTAAGTTACATCTGTTCTTCTGAAATGAGCATTTTTCTCAGGCTCCTGTGTGTAGGTTTAATAGTTTCACCAATGATGCCAATTAACAGGTTCTTATATTGTCCTTAAAAGTAAAAGGGGGTCAACAATACTAAATGGATTTGAGGATGGACTTTGGCTAGGGGCCAAAATAACATTTTAGATGTTTTATAATGTGGTCTGAAATATCTATTAATGTGATATGATATGTCTATTAATATGTCACTCACATTGTGCCCATTTATGTTATCACATGATCTGATTAAATTAAATCAGATGACTTTTTGATGCACATAGTGGATTTTATTTGGTTTTCTTGACCACAGCCTTATCCCCCTGCAGCCCAAGACCAGCAATTCACTGACGCTAAGCAGGGCTGAGACTGGGCAGTACCTGGATGGGAGATCACATGGGAAAACTAGGTTACTGTTAGCAGTGGTGTTAGTAAGGCCAGCAGGGGTGCTCAATCTGTGGTCTGTTTGAGTCCCAATGCCCCAGTATAGTGAAGGGTACACCATACTGTCAGTGGGCACCGTCTTTCAGATTAGTTGTGAAACCGAGGTCCTGTCTCTCTGTGGTCATTAAAAATCTCATGGGACTTCTCGTAAAGAGTAGATGTGATACCCCGTTACCCTAGCTAAATTTATCATGGCTTCCCAATCACAACCCTCCACCAAATTGGCTCTATCGTTGTCTCTCCGCTCCATCTATACCTAGTGTGTGGTGAGCACACTGGCACCATTGTCCTGTGGCCGCCGTCGCATCATCCAAACAGATCCTGCACACTCGTGGTGTGGAGAGATTCAATTGAATTCAGTTTCAATTCATCTTTATTTGTATAGTGTTTTTACAATGTAGATTGTGTCAAAGCAACTTCACATAGAAGATTATAGTGAACTGAAACCATGTGAGTTCAGTTTTCAATGTTTAAGTTCAGTTCAGTGTGGTGTAATATTCACTGCTGAGAGTCCGATCATTGTAGAGCAAATCCATCGATGCACAGCTCTACAAGTCCTGAACCATACAAGTCATTGGCGAAAGCGGCAAGGAAAAAACCTCACCAATTAGCGAAAGTGAAGGATAAAAAACCTTGAGAAAAAACTAGGCTCAGAACCATTTCTCCTATTGCCAAACGTCTTGTGCAGAGCGTCAGTCTAGATGCTGGAGGCTGGAGAACACTGGATGTCAGCGAAGACTCATCTGTCCCTGGAGTTCCACAGGAATCAGTCTCATGCTCTCCACTCCTCCATGACCACCACCACAGCAGCTGCTCAGGATACGGCCTGGTCCAGGATTATGGAAAGCTTGGGATCATATCTTCACAGGTCTTTAATTGCATCAATGGCGCTGCATAATATCTGGGGGCCTCGGGATGAGTATCCCCAGGTGGAAACTGTGAATAAAGAGAATAATTAGCATAGCTGCTGTTCATAGTGTTTATAAACGAGAGCACATTCATGCATCATAGCCCTATGTGATGCTTTGAGTTTATTTTTTACAAAAAAGATAGGTCTTAAATCTAGTTTTGATCTGCGAGAGTGTGTCTGAGCCTCGGACATTATCAGAAAGGCTATTGCAGAGTTTAGGAGCCATAAAAGAGAAGGCTCGACCTCCTTTACTCGACTTTGCTATTCTAGGTACTACCAGAAGCCCTGATTTTTTTTTTAATTATAAAGAGGGGTTGGATTTTAGTGAGACAGAAGCTTGATTAGATAAAGAGGAGCTAGATTATTTAAAGCTTTATAGGTAATAGACAATATTTTATAATCAATACAGAACTTAACAGGTTTCCATTATAGTGTATGCACCTTCTTAGCGGATAAAATTTGTGGTGTACTGAATTGTGCGTATACATTTTCAATCCCATTTGCAACATTTCTTGGAAATATCTAGAGAGTTTACTATAATCGTAATGGCCTTCACAGACATCAGATCTTAATCCAGTAGAGCACCTTTGATATCGTACTGTAGGTACTAGAGAAACGTGCATGATAAAGTTGCTGGTTAGTGTACAAAAATCAAAACAGGCTGTACTGTGCTCAGACACATGCTTCAGTGTCTTGTATCTATTGTTTATGCTTTAGAAACGCCTCTGCATTGTTTGCAAATGGAGAACAAGTAGCTTTTTAATGCAGCATCTGGAAGACATTGTCACTCTCTAAAGGGTGAATGTTTTCCATCTGCTGTCTGCAATACTGTCTTTGTGCCGAGCTCTGAAGGTGAATCTAAAAAAAAAAAGTTACATCCTTTTCATGCATAAATGGAAAGAAACCATCTGGTAAGGGCACCTGTTTTCTGCGCGTCTTTCTGGCTGTATAAGAATTGATCCTCTGCGGTGTTTTTAAATGGCAGCTGGTATGAGCTCAGCTTCACTGATTCTTCTTCTTCTTGCACTAATGAGGCTGAACATGTTTCAGTTGATCCCACATGTTGAGCTGTAACATCTCAATACTGCATTCGGAAAGTCAACAAGCATCTCCAGGAGACAATGTTTATCCATATAAAATGATTTTAAGGGTCTACATAATGGCACCTGTATGTCCCAAGTCCACCTTGGTACTGATCCTGTCCTGTCACGTGACTTTCAGAAAGCCTATCGGACAATGCATCAGCGTTCAGCAGCAGAGCCAAGCAGCTTCACAGAAGGATGTGGTGGAGAGACACGAAGGTGACCCTAATATACATATAACAGTTCTGAGAGTGTGTTCACACATGTAGTCCTGTTCTCTTGGTATGTTTTGTCGGGCCCAAAAGAGAAATTGATTAATTTAGTCTGATAGTTAGTATCATAATTAGTATGATAATTATGCTAGAAATGTTATCACCATGTTACTGCATGCTGCTAGCTGCTTATCTCATGGTAGCAACAAGTTAAATAATGTCAGAAACACACCAAAACCATGAAAATTCTTGCAACATGCTATGTCATGTTAGAAACATGTCAGCAACATGCAATTTTGTTACCAACTTGCTAATTCTTGTTAGAAACACAATAACAACATGGACATTTATGTTAAAAATAGGTTAGCAAAATGTTATTTCATGTTAGAAGCTTGTTATCTCCATGCTAATTCATGCTACCAACTTGTGAGTTTACACAATACATAAAGTAGGAACATGGAAATTCATGCTAGAAACAGGTTAGCAACATATTAATCCATGATAAAGAATCACCATTCTAATTAGTTTACCTACATGTTACTTCATGCTGGAAATAATAACAACATGCTAATTCATGCTAGCAACTTACTAATTAATGCTTATAGCAAGCTGGTAACAGAATACAATGTTGCTGCCATGTTTCTACCCAGAATTGGCACACTGCTAGCATGAATCATATTAGTGATTCTAACACACCAGTAACATGTTATTTCATGCTAGCAACATGCTTATTCAAGTTAAAAACATGACTGCAACATCATATTTTGTAACCAACATTCTAGAAATGTTATCACCATGTTAAATCATGCTGGTAGCTTCTTAATCGATTTTAGCAATGTGTTAATTATTTTAGAAACACTAAAATCATGATAATTTTTGCTAGCAACATGCTATTTCATGTAAGAAACATGTCAGCAACATTCCATTTTCTTACCAACTTGGTTATTCATGCTAGAAGTAGGTTAGCAACATTTTCATTGAGTCCATGTTAGCATGTTATCCCTATGCTAATTAATGCTACCAACTTGTTATTTTACACAAAATATCAACATGGCAAATCATGCTAGAATCAGGTTAGCAACATATTAATACATAATAAAAATTAATCATTCTAATTAGTTTACCAACTTGGTAATTCATGCTAGAAATAATAACAACCTGGTAATTCATGCTAGCTACATACTAATTAATGCTTATTGCAAGTTGCTGTAATGTTTCTAACAATATTTTGCTCACTGCTAGTTTGAATTGCTATATTAGTGATTCTAACACACCAGTAAAAATGTTGTTTCATGCTAGTGACATGCTAATACAGAAACATGGCTGCAATGTCATATTTTGTTACCAACATGCTGGAAATGTTATCACTATGTTAATTCATGCCGCTAGCTGCTTAACCCATGCTAGCAACATGTTAGTTAATGTCAGAAACAAAATGTTAACATGGTGTGTTATGTTAGAAACATGTCAGCAACATGCAATTTTGTTACCAACTTGCTAATTCATGTTAGAAATATGGTAGCAACATGGCAATTCATGCCACTAACATGGTTATTCATGCCAGAACATGTCAATCCATGCTAGAAGTATGTTATCCCCATGTTACTTCATGCTACCAACTTGTGAATTTACTCAAGATATAATGTAGCAACATGGCAATTCTTGTTAGAAAAAGGTTAGCAACATATTAATCCATGATAAAGAATTACCATGCTAATTAGTTTACCAACTTGTAACTTCATGCTAGAATTCATAACAATAACATGCTAATTCATGCTAGCTACATACTAATTGATGCTTACAACAAGCTAGTAACAGAATACAATGTTGCTGCCATCCTTCTAACAAGAATTAGCTCACTGCTAGCATGACATTAGTGATGCTAACACACCAGTAACATGTTATTTAATGTTAGCAACATGCTAATTCATGTTAAAAACATGGCTGCAACATTATATTTTTTTAACCAGAATGCTATAAATGTTATCAAAATGTTAATTCCTGCTAGCAACATGTTAATTAATGTCAGAAACACAACTAAACCAAGATTATCCTTGCTGGCAACATGCTGTGTCATGTTAAAAATCCAGTATCAACATGGCAATTCATGCTAGCAACATGGTTATTAATTATGTTAGAAATAAATATGCAGCACGTTAATTAATGCTAGAAGCATGTTATCTCCCTGCTAATTATGCTACCATCTTGTGAATTTACACAAACTTTGTTTATCAACATGCTAGAAATGTTATCACCATGTTAAATTATGCTGCTAGCTGCTTAATTCATGCTAGCAACATGTTAATTGATGTCAGAAACCCACTTAAACCGTGATAATTCTTGTTAGCAACATGGTATGTCATCTTACAAACATGTCAGAAACATGCAAATTTGCTAATTCATGTTAAAAACAGGTTAGCAACATTTTAATTTGTGCTAAATAATCACCATTCTTATTCGTTCTACCAACTAAGTCGTGCTAGAAGTAATAACATTCTAACAACATATTAATGCATATAGCAAGCTGGTAACAGAATACAATGTTGTCTGTCCGTCTGTATATCTGTCTCCGTTTGTCTATCTATCTGTTTGTCTGTCTTAGATTGTCATTATTGTTTATTATTTTTGAACAAACCTCATTTTATGATCCTAATTTCCCCGCTGTTTTGTCTTCCTTAGATGAAGATGATTGTAGCGTTGGTAGTGGTCATCCTTCTCCTTATCATAATTGGTAAGCCTCCTCCATAAACATTTCTACTACATACTTCACCATATTACCTTTACATGTATTTTACTTAAGCTTTCCCTCTCTTTCTGCAGTTCCTGTGATCTTGCGGTATCGCTAGTGTCTGGCTGGGAGGTTAGAGGCATAACAGGACTCTTCCTCCCTCCTCTCCCTCATCTTTCTGCTGTCATTCCTTCGTACCAGAGGGGGGCGCTGCACAGGGTTGGGCTGCCCACTGTATTTGCCTATTTGGCAGGGTCTGGAAACGTTACAAACAGGGGCAGGGTTTAATTAGTGCGTGTGCGACTACACAACATATCAAGCTCTCGCAACAAGGCACAACACTGGTGCAGACCAATCTCTAGTATGCGCACAATGGGTATTTTTGTTGTACATGCATTCAGTAAAGACAAATTAAGGGTTTATGTTACATGGAGAATAACAAACGTTCGCCCTGCGCTCTTCTGGTATTTCGATGTCCTATTTTTTAGCTAATTAGAAGATCAATTCCTTCTGCTTACGACATGACGCGCGTGCACATTTAAAAGGGTCGGTCTGTGAAATACTGTCTTCTCAGGTGGGAGGGGACAAATCAGATTCCTTATGATGTCACCGTGGCTGTGATGTCATCATCTTAACAAAAGTCACTCTGAAAGGTAATGTTACTTAATATTTGCTGCTATTACCTGCTGTACATTTTTGTTTTTCCATAGTTGACGAATTTTGATCGTGGTTATTAGTGACGAGTTTGTATTAATTTAATATCAAGGCATTATTTGCAGCTTTTTCCCCTCCAGATTTAAATTATTTATGTACAAACTGTAATTTTCTTTTCTGCTGTCATTTTAACAGCTTGTGATTGGTCAGTAATGTAATAGTCGTGCGTGATGATGATGATGATGAGGATGATGATTGAGTGTCGCTGATGGTGAACTGAACACACCTGAAACTTTTATATGATTTTACTGATTGTCTTTTTTTTTGCGTTATATTTATTTGTAAATAAATATATATTCCCAGTGTAAGTCAGCATTGGCTTTCCTTTGGGAGACTGTGAAATAATCCTGCGTTTGAAATAAAGTGATTTTAAAGGGCATCTGATTGGATTCATTGAAGGGAAACAAGAGAAAAGAACATTTCCCACACGATCTTCCATAAAGGGTTAGATACAGGTATCAAATCCAGTTCCTGGAAAGCCGCAGCTCTGCACAGTTTACAGGGTTTCCTCAGGATCTTAAAAAGTCTCAAATTTATAAATCGAAATTTTAGGTCTTAAAACATCTTAAATTCACTGTTCCAGGTCTTTAATATTTTAGTACAGGTCTTATTTTTCGATGTCCATGTAACGCTACATCTAATGCTCATTTAAATTATTTTTTGTTGTTGTTGCTTAGTTTTTGTGGTGTTGTTGTTTTTTATTTTACTAGTCCAAATGTAATCTGCGGTAATAAACTACAAATGACACTAACATGCAATAGCCAATCAGCTTTCTGTTACTGAACTCAGTGCACGCAGTGAATGTAGTATCATCGCAGAGTTTGCGGAGGTTGGCTTTGGGTGCGCCGGACATGATTTGGGCTGGAGGAGTGCACAAAATATTTTAAGACTCAAGCGAACAGTTTGCACGGTCCCGCGCTTCATTTAATTTGAATACAAATCACTTTGAAGAGCTTTTGTCTGAAAAATGTACAACTGTACAGACATCTTTATGATCTGTCAATGCGTGATCATAGCGAGAACCGGCTGACTAATAATTCTTAGCAAGAAATTGCAACAGTGGGAAAGGAAGAAAGGTTTTGTTAAAAAGTTGGCAAAAACCTGAGGGATACGTTTGTTAAAGCCAAAAGAGGTCATGGCAAAAGTGGAGACCCATGTACAAAATTACAGAATATGTTTTCTTTAGTTACAAATTTATAATTAAGGAACAAGTTATTTCTTTGATAACTGAAAAGGAACATATGAACCAATCGATTTACAATATACTGATAGCCTGTTTCTCTAGACTTTATTAGTGATGATGGTCAGAAATGTTGAACCATTATTGCCTTTTTAGCATAAGTATTGGACAGAAACTAACCAGCCAGTAATGTGTGAATTGTGAAGTGGGAAAAATTAAAAAATGAGTATTTATTACTAAGTGAACTTTTTTTTTTTTTGCTTTTATTCTTGCCATAATAAAAATATGATTGTAGAGCAACTCATGTTCTGTAGTCATTAATATTTAACTTTACAAACTGAACAAAAAGCAAGTGATGCATCAAAGTTTGATTGAAAAAAATTTGATTTTGGTTCTAAAAATCTTTATAATCATTATAGTAAAT